CATCCGGACTGGCTGCACTTGCTTGACCTACTTGCTCTGCCCCGGTATAAACAGTTTGCTTGCTTAACACAATTGCTATTGCACCATCCAGTGGACGCAATTGGAACAGCAGTTTCTTTTATTGAAAAAATTGCAGCTCATTTTTATACTTTACAAAATCATCTCGCGGGCCGGATTAAACCCGTTTGCGGGCCTGATCCGGCCCGCGGGCCGGACGTTTGACACCCCTGTCCTAATGCTCTTGGTTTGTCTACATTTAAACTCAGTTTTTCACAATTCCTGACATTTAATCCTAGTAAAAATTCCCTGTTTTAGGTCAGTTATGATCACCACTTTATTTGAAGAATGTGAAATGTCAGAATAATAGTAGAGAGAATGATTTATTTCAGCTTTTATTTCTTTGATCACATTCCCAGTGGGTCAGAAGTTTACATACACTCAATTAGTATTTGGTAACATTGCCTTTAAATTGTTTAACTTGGGTCAAACGTTTCGGGTAGCCTTCCACACGCTTCCCACAATAAGTTGGGTGAATTTTGGCCCATTCCTCCTGACAGAGCTGGTGTAACTGAGTCAGGTTTGTAGGCCTCCTTGCTTGCACACACTTTTTCAGTTGTACCCACACATTTTCTATAGGATTGAGGTCAGGGCTTTGTGATGGCCACTCCAATACCTTGACTTTGTTGTCCTTAAGCCCTTTTGCCACAACTTTGGAAGTATGCTTGGGGTCATTGTCCATTTGGAAGACCCATTTGCGACCAAGCTTTAACTTCCTGACTGATGTCTTGAGATGTTGCTTCAATATATCCACATAATTTTCCTTCCTCATGATGCCATCTATTTTGTGAAGTGCACCAGTCCCTCCTGCAGCAAAGCACCCCCACAGCATGATGCTGCCACCCCCGTGCTTCACGGTTGGGATGGTGTTCTTCGGCTTGCAAGCCACCCCCTTTTTCCTCCAAACATAACGATGGTCATTATGGCCAAACAGTTCTATATTTGTTTCATCAGACCAGAGGACATTTCTACAAAAAGTACGATCTTTGTCCCCATGTGCAGTTGCAAACCGTAGTCTGGTTTTTTTAATGGCGATTTTGGAGCAGTGGCTTCTTCCTTGCTGAGCGGCCTTTCAGGTTATGTCGATATAGGACTTGTTTTACTGGGGATATAGATACTTTTGTACCTGTTTCCTCCAGCATCTTCACAAGGTCCTTTGCTGTTGTTCTGGGATTGATTTGCACTTTTCGCACCAAAGTATGTTAATCTCTAGGAGACAGAACGCGTCTCCTTCCTGAGCAGTATGACGGCTGCGTGGTCCCATGGTGTATATACTTGCGTACTATTGTTTGTACAGATGAACGTGGTATCTTCAGGCGTTTGGAAATTGATGAACCTTGGGAGCAATTTTTTTAAATATTTTTTTTCTGAGGTCTTGGCTGATTTCTTTTGATTTTCCCATGATGTCAAGCAAAGAGGCACTGACTTTGAAGGTAGGCCTTGAAATACATCCACAAGTACACCTCCAATTGACTCAAATTATGTCAGTTAGCCTAACAGAAGCTTCTAAAGCCATGACATCATTTTCTGGAATTTTCCAAAGTGTATGTACACTTCTGACCCACTGGAATTGTGATACAGTGAATTATAAGTGAAATAATCTGTCTGTAAACAATTGTTGGAAAAATTACTTGTGTCATGCACAAAGTAGATGTCCTAACCGACTTGTTAACAAGACATTTGTGGAGTGGTTGAAAAATGAGTTTTAATGACTCCAACCTAAGTGTATGTGAACTTCAGACTTCAACTGTATGAAGAGCAGACAATTGATTACTTGTACACCACATTTCAGCAATATCAGAGCTTGCAATTATGGGTTATATGAGTTTAGGTGGCCCACTCCCCCTCCAGCCAGGCATAATTCTGCACTGTTTGAGTTAAGGGTGTGTCACAATATCTATCAATTGAATCACTTTTGCAATAAGATATCTTTATACAACCATCCATGTCATATATGGGAGACCTTAGAGATGAGGAAAAACATGGTTGTGATTTGTTATACCTTGGGTAGGAGGATCTCAAACACTTCAACCTGTTTTGAGGACTGGCCTCTAGCCTAAAAAGATGTGACTAGTAGAAATCTTTTGAGAAGTTGTCAAATGTGATTGATTAATAGATCAAGAATGGAAATAATGGTTTTACTTATTTTACCCACAAATAAACTTAGCTACTTTGAAAACCAGAGACACTGTACACACCAGGCCAAGTTGAGCAAAATCTTTATTGTCCAAGAAGAGCAATCACAAATAATCAAATATTTATACAACCCCACCAGCATGCCAGCATCTTCATTGAAACTGTACAATGTGTACAGGAATGTATGGAAAAGCATAAGATCATTCAAAACTTTTACATCCATATGCTTAGGGTACAGTACATGTCAATTCCACTTTCTGATCCAAAATCCCTCCCTCTTAACATACTCAAACAGTATCACACATTTTCTGCTAGCACATCCTACTCTGTGCAAACTTTTTCCATCAACGTCTCTTTTCGTCAATATGTCATTGGGCAAAGGCTGGGTGTGACTGGAGGTGTACATCTTAACCCTACCAGCTCCTGTTCCTAATGAGAGCTGAAACACCGTCAATGTCTCAAGCAGCAGACGGTGAATCATGCTCTACTCCTGTGCTTTCTCTGGTACTTGTCATCACCTTTGACCTCCGACAGCAGGCTCTAAGGGTCGCAACAAAATTTGAGTGAGGGGGAAGGAGGGAAATCTGACTGGGGATTGATGTACATTAAGGCAACAAAAAAAAGACCAACAAAAATCATGTCTTTCTTTTTCACGCGACCAAAGTCGACGATAAGGCCTCATGGCTAAGGAACATAAGAGTGCCAAGGGTTATCAATACTGATGAAGTGGCTTGCTGGGGTGGGCAAGGAAAAAACACATAGGTAAATTCTTGGTGGTGTATTCTATTCCCATTCTAACTACCATCTTTACTTGTGTTTACTAGTGGAGGTTGAGTTTAGACAAAACAGGCAGGGAGCAGCATGTGTGTAAACACTCCAGGGAGAATCTCAACTAGCAAAGAGGTTAGGATGGTGAACAGTTGATACTAGAATATGCCCTTGAGTGAGTCTACCTGATGGCACCCCATGAAATACAACATACAGCCCAAGGCATGCAACATCTGTTAGTGCTCTACCATGATAGCTGAGCAAGAGTAGTAAACTGATTATTGGTGAGTTAAACGTGACTATTTTGATCTTCCGGTATAAGGCAGTGCTGGGGCATCCACACTTTTTTTTCCTCCAATGTCATAATATCTTTCACTTCTTGGCCTTAGCCTCTGCCGAGTCCCCAACAACCGGATGTTCCTGTTTTCAGGGGAAATGGAACGAGGCCCAGTGATGCAACTTCCGTTTTTGGACGTAAACAAGGCGACACTCCATCTTAACTCCTCCTCCACATATAACAGAAAACCAGCAGGCTCCAGACGTCGTAGGGTAAGAGTTGAATACCTCTTATGTAGGGGATCTAGTTTCAGGCGTTTCTTTTTTTTACACCTGCTACATCAGGTTACCTTGGCCCCAATCCCCATGTAAGAGGAAAGGGTTAATACATTTAAGGGGGCTGGGAGGAGCTGAAGTAAAGCAGCTCATTATTAATTCACTGTACGTTTAAAGACATGCTCCGGTACTTTTCCCCCCTACATTTCCCCCCACGTGGGCAAGTCCCCTAGTAATTCGAGTTTCAGCCAATGAGCTTCAGCCCCTCACCATTTGAGTGACGGCTAGCAAGACGCACACACAGTAGAGCGAGAGAGAGCGCAATGACGTGGTGCACATATCTGCATATTTGTGACACATGCAATTTTCAGGGACCACTTTTGGCTCGTGGGTGCTACTTTCAGAACTACTGGCAAAAAAAGTATATAAAGGTTCCGGAGAATATCTTTAACAAGGCAGGTCTTGGTAAAATATTTTTAAAAACTAGGGAGGAGGCAAGCAAAGGAATGCTAAAAGTGGGCAGCAAAACATGGCAGGGAAGGAATGACCATAAAAGCTGATTAATATCAACAGCAATGTGAACAAAGCCACAGTATACTATTATTCATACAATTATATATAAAAAAAAAAGGCAAAATGAAAAGTTGATTGTAGACTTGCTTTTCCACATGTACTTCTTACTGACAGGAAGACCATTTAGGGAGCGAAGGGGTGTTTAATCTCTTCAAGCAGGACAAACCATGAGCGGTGGGGTTGGAGGATAGATCCTGCACAGTACAGCTATGGGAGACTTAAAGGTCCAATGCAGCCGTTTTTATATATCAAATCATTTCTGGGTAACAATTAAGTACCTTACTGTGATTGTTTTCAATTAAAACAGTCAAAAAGAAACAAAAATAGCTTCTTAGCAAAGAGCAATTTCTCAAGCAAGAATTTGGCTAGGACTGTCTGGGAGTGGCCTCAGTGGGGAAGGGAAAACTAGCTGTGATTGGCAGAGAGGTTTGGAACTATTCATTATTGGTCTATTAACTAATTTACCGACTGGTGATGTCACCAGGGAAGCCAAAACTCCATCCCACCAAGGCGGTCTTTTCAAACAGCTCCAACACTGAAAGGGCATTATCATCATTTTCACAATCTTATTCCTCCCTCAGTGTGGATATATAAAACACAGGAAAATCACATTTTGGCACTGGGCCTTTAAGGTTGCATGGATGGCAGGTTGAGGACAGTGAAACAATGGTGGTGGGTTTTGTGCAACCAATGAAAGCAGAGGGGGGGATGGACGGACAGAGGGGGCCGTTGCTTCTGCTGCTGCTACTAATGCAGACGGATAAATCGGAAGATACGTGGGAGAGACAAGACAGAGGGATGGAAGGGTCGGAATGAAGACATGAGGATGGAATGAAGTAGAAGAAAACTAACTAATGGAGAAATGGGGACTTGGTTGTGGGTTGTGGGGTTTGGTTCTGAAGGCCTCTTTCTTAGTCTTTCCAATCTTTCCTGATGTTGAGGTTCCACTCCCAGGAGAGGTGGTCGTGCTTATCGTCGTCGGTGAACTTGGACTTGATGTTGTAGGTGCCGCGGGCCAGCATGCCTTTAGGAGCCTCCTCCAGCGGGGTCAGGAAGTCGTACTCATTCGGCCTCGGCCCGTAGCTCCCCACCATGTAGTCTGACTTGTCAACTACAGAGACCGAGAGAAAAGATGGGGTGTTTGAATCACCAGGGAGGACAAGAAATACAGGGTGGTGTTCATTAGGCACTAAACGGAAAACCTGAATGAAACAGGGAGTAACTACTTGGAGAAAATACTAGCTCTCTGGGAAGAAAGTTATCAATAAACAGGACTAATGAAAAACAACTGACTGTTTTGCTCCATTATTATTTTGTTTGTTTGTACTTTTACCCCTTTTTCGTGATATCCAATTGGTAGTTACAGTCTTGTCCCATCGCTGCAACTCCCCTACGGACTCGGGAGAGGCGAAGGTCGAGAGCCATACGTCCTCCGAAACACAACCCTGCCAAGCCGCACTGCTTCTTGACACACTGCTCGCCAGCCGCACCAATGTGTCGGAGGAAACACAGTCCAGCTGGCGACCAAAGTCAGCTTGCAGTCACCCGGCCCGCAACAAGGAGTCGCTAGAGCGCGATGGGCCAAACCCTCTCCTAACCCGGACGACGCTGGGCCAATTGTGCACCGCCTCATGGGTCTCCCGGTCACGGCCGGCTGTGATACAGCCTGGGATTGAACCCGGGTCTGTAGTGACGCCTAAAGCGCTGCGATGCAGTGCCTTACACCGCTGCGCCACTCGGGAGGCCTGCTCTAATTTATTTTGATTTCTCGATAAGCCTCACAAAACACGACTCACTAATAAAGCAATTGACACAACAGGCTGTTTCGTGCCTCGACTTGCATCCAGTTTCAAACAAACATTTTTCACGCCCTGCCCCTCTGCTCAGTAAAAACATGAGATGAAAGCATCCCAAAGCAATTTCTCAATAATATCTCTATTGACAGTGTTGTCTGTTTTTCAGCCTTGACTTGTGCATCCGGTTTCAAACAATATCTCAATTTCAGGCCCTGGCCCTTCTGCCTGTTTCTCTTGGCAGATTAAAAAGGGAAGGCAGTGTGTGGGCCGGGGCTGTCTGTCAACGTCATTAAACAATGGTAGTCTCTACAGGCCTTAAGTGTTTACAGCTCTTCGTTGAACTAATTCATTTAAACTGATTCCCTTATTGTCTAAAGCAACGGTGTTGATGTGGCATCATGCCACTTATCTCTTCAATTCTGTTAGGACCAACATTTGGAAACCATGACAATGTATCACCTTGTACATTCCATTAACAGGGCATCTGCAGAAACTGATGGTAGTGGGAAACTTCAACGTTGATGTCAACATTTGCTTGAGTCTAGGTCATCATTTCCCACATTTACTATGGGAGGAAGGCCTGTGCGGTTGAGATGGCGGTCAGGAGGGAACAAACAAGAGGGATAGGAAGCAGCAAGCACTCACTTCTCACTCCTTTCCTGTGGGTCTGCTGGACATACTTGAGTCCCGAGACAATCTCCTTGTTTACCTGCAGAGACAGAGGCATTGTTAGTGGCATGGAAAATCAATCTAGCTTATCGCAAGCTCATCTGACAGAAATAGGCAATTTAAAGACCTTGTGAACCATGGCAACAAGCATTATATGAAATCTGAAAAATACAATAACTGGGGGGGGGGGGGGGGGGGGGGGGGGGGGGAGTATAGCGACTGCCTTTTTAGGGAACTGAGGGGGTCTTTATACAAACAGCTTTCATTTGCGTGAATTGAACTACATTTAATCTCTTTTGTTTTATTTCAGGTAAATTATGCAATAACTTACATATTGTACAGGTAACTGCCAAAATAATGGAAACACTTGAGTAAATGTGGGATACAAAGTATATTGAAAGCAGGTGCTTCCACACAGGTGTGGCTCCTGGGTTAATCAAGCACTTAACATCCATCATGCTTAGGGTCATGCATAAAAATGCTGGGCAGGCCATTATTTTGGCTACCATTGCTATGCCCCTGTAGGATGCCCCCATCCACAGGGCACGAGTGATCACTGAATGGTTTGATGAGCATGAAAACGATGTAAGCCATATGCCATGGCCGTCTCAGTCACCAGATCTCAAACCAATTGAACACTTATGGGAGATTCTGGCGCGGCGCCTGAGACAGCGTTTTCCACCACCCTCAACAAAACACCAAATGACAGAATTTCTCGTGGAAGAATGGTGTCGTATCCCTCCAACAGAGTTCCAGACACTTGTAGAATCTATTCCAAAGTTTTGGCTCGTGGTGGCCCAACACCCTATTAAGACGCTTTATGTTGGTGTTTCCTTTATTTTGGCAGTTACCTGTACCTTTACATGTCAGCAAGGACCACTGCAAAAGATCAGAACTGTGCTCTCACTTTGAAGCTGATCTTTATTCTGTACTCCACTCCCTCCTTCAGGATAAAGGACTGCTTCTTAAAGGCCTCCAGATCTCCTGTTAGAGAGACAATGAGGGAAAAAAACAATAAGGTTTCTCCAACTCACACACACAAACTAGGGCATGCAGCAGGGGACTACTGGCTACAGGGCCCCAGTGTGGAGTGTGAGAGCATGGTGTCTTTAACAGCCATGTGGAGTCCTAGGCAGCTCTGACACCTCAGCAGGGGTCATTATCTCAGCCCAGCGGTGACAATGCCTCATTAGCAAACTTAATTAGGGTTTTTAATACTGTCTTCTAGCAGTGCTGTAGCACTCTCCCTCAACATCTAGCAGTGTAACAGACTGGACTGGGGAAACAATAGAAGCAATACAGTATTACATTTACATTTTAGTCATTTAGCAGACGCTCTTATCCAGAGCGACTTACAGTTAGTATTCTCCTCGTTTCCCCCCATGATGTATGGCATCGAACCAGTTTTCTCCCCAGAATTTGCTATATGTGCTGTACATGGAAAGACCATGAGCTAAGGCTTTGAAATGTTCAAAATACCCTTTTAATTTATTTCCATTCATTCACAGTTTCCAGCATGTTACTTCTGACACGAGTGGCTGTTTTAAACTGTTCCTCAGGAACCCTTTCTCAGTGTTCGTTTATGACCGCCAGTCGTCACTACAAGTACATACGAGTGTGATGAACACATTTTTACTGGCACTGGCCTGCCTCATTCAGGATGTCTCAGCTCATTCTGTTCAGCAGCACAAGGTCTATTGCTCACATCCTCAAGAGAGTCAGGTGACAGTAGCAGGTATTTTCTTAGAACATGGGCTATAGGGCTGACCCCAATTAGTCGACTGGTCGATTGTTTGGTCGTTAGGCTATTGATCGACAGAGATTGTTTTAGTCGAGCAGTAACACATACAGTGCATTCGGAAAGTATTCCGACCGCTTGACTTTTTCCACATTTTGTTACGTTACAGCCTTATTCTAAAATGGATTAAATAAATAAAAATCGTTAGCAATTTACACACAATAACCCATAATGACAAAGCAAAAACAAGTTTTTAGAAATTTTTACAAATGTATTAAAAACTGAAATATCTTATTTACATAAGCATTCAGACCCTAAGCACAGCCAAGACAACGCAGGGGTAGCTTCGGGACAAGTCTCTGAATGTCCTTGAGTGGCCCAGCCAGAGCCCGGACTTGAACCCGATTTAACATCTCTGGAGAGACCTGAAAATAGCTCTGCAGCAATGCTCCCCATCTAACCTGACAGAGCTTCAGAGAATCTGCAGAGAAGAATGGAAGAAACTCCCAAATACAGATGTGCCAAGCTTGTAGTGTCATACCCAAGAAGACTCGATACTGTAATCGCTGCCAAAAGTGCTGAGTAAAGGGTTTGAGTAATTATGTAAATGTGATATTTTACTTTTATTTTCTGTTTTTGTTGAAATGAGCAAACATTTCTAAACACCTGTTTTTGCTTTGTCATTATGGGGTAGTGTGTGTAGATTGCTGAGGCATTTGTTTATTTATTTATTTATCAATTTTAGAATAAGGCTTTAACGAAATGTAGAAAAAGTCAAGGGGTCTGAATACTTTCTGAAGGCACTGATATAGATATATTTTTTAAAAATTGCGCCCATCTCAGAGAACTAATCCATTGCAGAGCACTAGACTAAAAGCCAATTTATGCTTGATTCGAAAATGTGGAGGGTTTGATGCAATTGTGGAGCCTCCAGAGGCATGCAGAGGCCAAATCGAGCTATGTACCGCATAGCCATGCGCCTCCCAAATGTTGTAACAATGCGGAGGACTCTGTATAGCTCCGTATTGACATGATTGGTTGATGGTAGGTGGGGGCAGTACATCCTGTATATAAACACAAACTCACTTCCTTGACAACAGCTCTGCAGTGCTCCGCGAAGCGCAAGAAGTATGAATGCCCTGACTTCTGCTGAGGCCATTCTTGCCCTGACTTCTGCTGAGGCCATATCACAGTAAATGCTGTATGGCCAATGCAGACGTTGGATTGACCATGCGCCCAGATGCACAATGCACTTCTCTCTCCAGAATGCGCTCTCTCGCCAATTTGTGCACATTAATTGTTTCATTGTGTGAATTGTTTGCGTTTCATTGTAAGTGTATGTCAATTCCCCATTACATATATCACCAGTAGTACATTTACCATTAATTCCTAATCTACAATGTTTGTTACTTTGGTTATGGTCATTTCTGTTAATGCATTCAATATTATTATTCCAGTCTTCCTGTTCTCATTGTCGGAGTGGACACGTTGTTTGCAGAGTGCACAACCTATGCTACACTTGTGAGAAACAACTTTTGGTTTATTGAATTCCATTTACGACTTCTGTCAATTTAGTCATTGTCTTTTGTTTGGAGCGCTCCTGTCAATGTTGAGTAAGGACACGAACGCATAGAAGTAGGCCTATAGGCTACCTGGTCTGTGTGCAAATGTAGGCATATAAATGTGCCCATTTGGGGATCTAATAGTATTTCTGATTGATTTAACACACCACCACTAATGACCTGTGGAGCTTGACTTGGACTGAAATAGGTTCCGGTACTCATTTTGGGTGCTGGTACTGTTTATATTTAGGTGCAGGAGCTCCACAATTGTTTTGAGCTAATATTCTATAAAAGGAACAGGAGCTCAAACAGTAGAATATTTGAGGTGCCTGTACTCCCCTCTGCTGAGCCCCTGCCCAAGTCAAGCACTGCTTCTTATCCCTTGCGCAAATAGCCTACAGCTGTGTCTGTCCCGAGCTCATTGGCGTGGAAACTCTGAGGGCCCAGAATATTTTATACAATGTTGCAAGTTCGCTAGTGCAAGCTTCAGGCCAGACCCAGTTAATAGTTGATACAATGTTTCACGTTCATTGCAAACAGGCCATGTGTAACCAATTTGATTTATAGGATATTTATTTTTATCAGGATATTTTCTACTTGTAGGCTGCAATGTTTTTATTTGTTGGCTTTATGTAGGCTATTTTTACATAGTTGGCAATGGCAATAGAAGTTACCTTTGGATAGAATTTAGATTAACCACATGACAATGATTTTGAGATATGAAGACATTATTATAAATGAAATGAAACTGTTTCACTAAAATGTGCATATGAAAACCATAACTGGCACGCAGATAGGTAGAAAATGTAAGATAAATTGGCACTCCACATGAGAAAGGTTGCCGACTACTCATGTAGCCTATTACCGGCAACTTCAGGAGAGTAACGGCAGAATCTGCGAAATATACAACTGTGTCGTGTTTCATATACAACCGTGTCTGTATATAGCAAACTACACGTTTAAAAATGAAACATTTCAAGCGGTCGAAAGAACAGACTACTTTTTTTTCTAATGGGCTAACAGATCAGTTTGTCAATGCCAGTTAGTTACACACTCTGAACAATTTCCCCCATGTTTTGAAACACTCGTATGATAAGATGTCCATCATTATGTTAGGTCCCATTTCAGAGGACTTACAGTGAATAAGTACTACAGTATTATAGCTCACCTTGCAGGTCCAGGGTCAGTGGGTTCGGGGCAGTCTCACACATCAGTGTCAACCGTGTCACCTGGACGTTGGGAACGCTGGGATCTGTAACAAGACCAGACAAAGAACGTTCATATGAATCATGTAACTGACCCACAGCTACCTTGACACAATTACACCCTACTTACTTAACCATAGGTTTGCTGTCAATTTGGAGTCACCCTCAAAATTAAAGTGGAAAACCACACTACAAACCGGTCATGCTGGAGGATGTTGCAGGCAGCAGAACGTTCTCCACGGCGTCTCCAGACTCTGTCACGTCTGTCACGTACTCAGTGTGAACCTGCTTTCATCTGTGAAGAGCACAGGGCACCAGTGGCGAATTTGCCACTTGGTGTTCTCTGGCAAATGCCAAACGTCCTGCATGGTGTTGGGCTGTAAGCACAACCCCCACCTGTGGACGTCGGGCCCTCATACCACCATCATGGAGTCTGTTTCTGACCGTTTGAGCAGACACATGCACATTTGTGGCCTGCTGGAGGTCATTTTGCAGGGCTCTGGCAGTGCTCCTCCTGCTCCTCCTTGCACAAAGGCGGAGGTAGCAGTCCTGCTGCTGGGTTGTTGCCCTCCTACGGCATCCTCCACGTCTCCTGATGTACTGGGCTGTCTCCTGGTAGCGCCTCCATGCTCTGGACACTACGCTGACAGACACAGCAAACCTTCTTGCCACAGCTCGCATTGATGTGCCATCCTGGATGAGCTGCACTACCTGAGCCACTTGTGTGGGTTGTAGACTCCGTCTCATGCTACCACTAGAGTGAAAGCACCGCCAGCATTCAAAAGTGACCAAAACATCAGCCAGGAAGCATTGGAACTGAGAAGTGGTCTGTGGTCACCACCTGCAAAACCAGTCCTTTATTGGGGGTGTCTTGCTAATTGCCTATTATTTCCACCTGTTGTCTATTCCATTTGCACAACAGCATGTGACATTTATTGTCAATCAGTGTTGCTTCCTAAGTGGACAGTTTGATTTCACAGAAGTGTGATTGACTTGGAGTTACATTGTGTTGTTTAAGTGTTCCCTTTATTTTTTGGAGCAGTGTATTTGTAAATGGTTGGTTGTCTAAATGACAACTGAACTGAAAACATCCAAGTAGGGATATCTGTGAACTTCTGGCCCTTACCTAGGCCTCCATTTAAACATAACTTTTAAATCGATAGTACAGACCAAGACTTCTTAGAGGCCCTTTTCTTAGAGGCAACATTTAGGAACGAGGACTGCGTGTATACTATCAGTAATAACCAGCTGTCCAACGGTCTGCCCCACAGTGAGAGCTGAAATCAGGACAGCTATCCATTAGTTGAAGGGCCCCAACATTAAATAAACATTTGTTTATTCTGAGATACACACAGTCCCTGGGTATTAGCTATAGCCTTCTCCCTGTCTTATTGACCCATAAAGATACTAAGCAGGCGCCAGGTAGACACACATACAAACACACACCATACACTTATTGAGAAAACAATGACAAATACACAACCAGAAACACACACAGAGCCAGAAACACACACACTCACCAGCGACAGCAGCAGCGCCGGCTCCTAGCAGAACTTCCTTGTACTTCCGGAGGCTCTCGTCGTCCTGGTCCAGCTCCTGGATCTCCTGCAGGGTCTTCTGGGCCGGGGGCTTGTAGTTGACCGTCTCGCCCACGTCGTTCTCCGCAGCGATGGCTGCTAGCTGCTCCGGAGTCAAATCGTCCTCAGCCATGTCTGTGGAGAGAGAGAAAGAGAAGCGACAGAGCGGGGAAGAGGAAGAAGAGAGGAGGAATGTTACAACCAAGATTATTGGCAAATAGGGGCCTCCCGAGTGGCGCAGCAGTCTAAGGCACTGCATCGCAGTGCTAGAGGCGTCACTACAGCTCCGGGTTCGATCCCAGGTGTCGCAGCCGGCCGTGACTGGGAGACCCATGAGGCTGCGCACAACTGGCCCAGCGTCATCCGGGTTAGGGGAGGGTTTAGCCAGCTGGGATGTCCTGGTCCCATGGCGCTCTAGCGACTCCTTGTGGCGGCCGGGCGCATGTAGGCCGACTTCGGTCGCCAGCTGTACGGTGTTTCCAACGACACATTGGTGTGGCTGGCTTCCGGATTAAGCGAGCAGTGTGTCAAGAAGCAGTGCCGCTTGGCGGGGTCATGTTGCTGAGGACTCATGGCTCTTGACCGTCGCCTCTCTCGAGTCCGTACAGGAGTTGCAGTGATGGGACAAGACTAACTACCAATTGGATATCACGAAATAATATATATTACATTTATTGGTTAATAAATAGTTCCACTAATCGCTGTTCCTCCCATGTGGCTTCTTCTCAGAGGATGTACTCAAATAAAAGGATGACAGCATCTCATCAATTACTATGAAATGCTGCTATGACGACATCACACAAGGCAACAAACAAGGAACTAAAATGCAGAAAGGTTTCCTGATCAGAAGAACCAAAAAGGTGTTGATCATTGAGTGAGAAGTACTCTTTTACTACTGATGACGTAATCCTGGGTCTAATGTGAAAAATCAGAGCACACTGAAACAGCGTCAGCACTGGTGGGAGACCATCGAATTAGGTAATGTGTGAAAAGTTGCATGACATGGGCCCCTAACACACACACACACACACACACACACACACGATTGAGGTCAGAGGAGCAGGGGCTGTGTTTCTTAGCATTGGGAGAACCACCAGAGGGGTTGTTCTAAAAACAGATCAATCAAACACAGTCAGTCTCTCACAACCATTAGTCTCCAGGGGCCTCTTAGCCTGCCTTTTCAAAACAAGCTCACACCAATCTACTTACACTGACTGTCATGTGTTACAGTGACGTTGTCTTCCTTTCATTCTTTATCAAGTAAGTTCAACTACGCTGACAGATGTGGTCAAGCTTCGATCAAAACAATGTTGACATACAGAATTAACATGCTCCTAAAATAGACCACATTTAGGCTACATTCTTTAGACCATGGTCCTCAGATGTTGTTGTTGCCTGTTTCCCCAGATCTGTAATGGCCAACTCCTAAGGTCGTTGTCATGACAAAACATGTTTGGATCTGGGCCAACTTCCAGGCTTAATTTGTGGGGCTTTCCTTCGAGTAAAATCTGAATTCAACTGTTCTTGAAATTGCTTTTCTCAAAAACGACTCAACAATCGACCTGCCCATCTCTGTCCTTTGAACTCATGCCGACTTCATGAGATGCTATCTTACCAACAACTAAAACCGTTTGACAGCAAGCCTAATGGCATTCACAACAAACAAGATGGCCAATAAAATTCACTCCAGATGCATCATCCCATCCAGGGTTATAATTGGAATGAGGGGCCTCTCCTCAATATACTTGAGTCACGACAACTGGAGGGGCTCACAAAAGCAGGAAGAGCTGTGTTTATGCCAAGAAGCGTCCGACATTCCCAATAAGGCTTTCTCTCCCACAATAGCCTGACCATGAATCCTGAATCCTCTGTCTGTGTCCGCCACTACTACTACTACTGCAGAGCTAGCGCTCGGAATGGAGGTTCAGTTCCATCAACATCCATGTGTTTTTAGACTAATAAAGTTATTTTCCACTTGATGTTGGTGATCTATCATTCTTTGCTGGGTCTTGGGGGAGTGAAAGTATTTCAATGTTGGCGTTTAGTCTTAAGAGTTAAAAGCACATCTGGATCCCTGTTAATCAAAGAGTGTAAGACTATTATAAAATCAGACTAGCAGCCTGGTGTGGGATTTTGATTTGGAGGAAAATGGAGCGGGGAGAATTAATGACGCAGTTCGTTTTGTTTTGGAGTTTTGTATGGCGTACATTGCATAGTACACATATTAGGAAACTAATCCTTCACTAAAGCCAATCTACACTGGAACAAAGATATAGGAACAAAAAGTACACCATAAAACAAAAGAAAAATGGGAAATAAGTAAGTACTGCTGCATCAGGATTTCCCTTAGCCGTTATTAGCCGGCGTTTGGCCGATAAAAAAAAGAAAAGCTGATGAATACAATTGGCACCGGCCAATTGTCCAGGAGAAGAAGAACAAATCCCATTGCGAAATAATGCTTTTTAGCCTATTCATTGATGTAAATACATTTGACCGGTCATGCTTATCGGTCTATAGGTTCATTTGCATAATTTAGTGGAATTAAATTGCTGTGTGTATATATTCGTTATGTATCTTATTTATCACACACGCACAGCATACAGATACAGAGCCTTTAAGTGGAACATCTGTCAGACAGCGGGAGAGCTGCTGATACAGCATCTCAAACAGCAAATGCATAAGCAATGGAAGGTAGGCTTCTTCAGCGCGTCACACATCACTTTGCAATGAGCTGGAGGCAGTATGCATTTTGAAAGCATACACTTAATTGTTGGAAACCTGAACGTTTTACTACATGTCTTACCTTGCTTCAAAGTAGCCTAGCCAAAATCAGACCATATCCATGAAGGCACTTATTTTATATCAACTTTCTTTCATTGTCCAGTAACCAAAGGCACAATCCTAGTCATATTACTAACCAATGCTAGTTGTTCCATATTAGATCTCCCCTCTTTCTACATTTCTAATGGATATTTTCATGTCTGTCACATGTAACTGCTTGCTTTTGACAATAGTGTTTTCCCGCTAATTGCATTATGGAATGAACATTCACGCGTAGCCTACTGCCTTGTGCGCTAATACATGTTTAGAAACAATAGTTTACCAACATTTTAAGGCTAAATGTTCTGATATTTTTTACGTTGGTTTATGTTGCCTAGGCCTACTGGTTGTATGAATTTGGGATCTATCGTCCCCAAGAATAGGTACTATTGCCAAGAATGTGCAAAGCTGTCATCAAAGCAAAGGGGTGGCTATTTGAAGAATCTCAAATATAAATAATATTTTGATTTGTTTAACACTTTTTTGGTTACTACATGATTTAATGTGTTATTTTTACAGTTTTGATGTCTTCACTATTATTCTACAATGTAGAAAATAGTAAAAATAAAGTAAAACCCTTGAATGAGTAGGTGTTCTAAAACTTTTGACCAGTAGTGTACATGTAACCAGGTAAGAAATCTCGACCTACGGTTCGCAATGCTCCCACGTAGGGAAATAGGGCCTGCGAGAAGAGCCCTGCCGCTCCAGGCTATTCGGTGTGGGAAATGTGGGGACCCGGTGTCCAAGTAGGCTACGCGTAGCTAGCTATATGTGTGGAAAACATTTCATCACAGGTAAGACTTTTAACTTGTTTAATATAGTCTGTTTAACTCCATTCACTATATAGTCCATCTGTTTGTGTTGTTGGTCTTGTCACTCACGTGGTTGGTAGCACCGTCATGAAAAGGGGCATGAAGGAAGCCCTACAATATTACGTTTTTCTAAGTAGTGAGAACGCTCGGGAGAAGGCAATGTTGAAAAGTCATCTTTAGACATGTTGTACTTTTCTTAAAATGTAGTTTTGTAATTGAGAAAAACAAGCAGACAAGAAAATTGTGTTTGAAAAAGGTTGATTTCTTGCTGTGAGCCAATGGGGTAACCTAGGCAACCACAGGTTGTTTTCCCCGTAGGCGGGAGGTGCCGCGACATTCTATCTAATACCGATGGAGTATTTACAAACAAACATGATTGGCTCAACTGTTCTGGGGAACTACAGTAAGCTTCATAATGTAAAATAATGTGACAGGTCAAATGAAGAATGCAATCTTCTTTAACTCCTAACGTATTGCACAAGTTGACTGCAGGTATTAACTTAAAGTAGGTTTAAAGAAATATACTGAACAAAAATATAAACGCAACATGTAAAGTGTTGGTCCCATGTTTCATGAGCTGATTTAAAAGATCCCAGAAATTGTCCATACGTACAAAAAGCTTATTTCTCTAAAATGTTAGTGATCTGTTAGTGAGCATTTCTCCTTTACCAAGATAGCCACACCTGTCAGGTGGATGGATTATCAAGAAGCTGTTAAACATGATCATTACACAGGTGCACCTTGTGCTGGGGACAATAAAAGGCCACTAAAATGTGCAGTTTTGTCACAACACAGATGTTTCAAGTTGAGGGAGTGTGCAATTGGCATGCTGACTGCAGGAATGTCCAACAGAGCGGTTGCCAGAGAATTGAATGTTAATTTCTCTACCATAAGTTGCCTCCAACATCGATTTAGAGAATTTGGCAGTACGTCCAACCGGCCTCACAAACGCAGATCACGTGTAATCACGCCAGCCCAGGACCTCCACATCCGGCTTCTTCACCTGCGGGATGGTCTGAGACGAGCCACCCGGACAGCTGATGAAACTGTGGGTTTGCACAAGCAAAGAATTTCTGCACAAACTGTCAGAAACCGTCTCAGGGAAGCTCATCTGCGTGCTCGTCATCCTCACCAGGGTCTTGACCTGACTGCAGTACGGTGTCGTAACCGACTTCAATGGGCAAATGCTCACCTTTTCCAGCGAGCCAGTGCCCATCGAAGTGTGCTCTTCACGGATGAATCCCGGTTTCAACTGTACAGGCAGATGGAGTCATGTGGGAGAGCGGTTTGCTGATGTGAATGTTGTGAACAGAGTGCCCCACGGTGGCGGTGAGGTTATGGTATGGGCAGGCATAAGCTACGGACAACGAACACAATTGCATTTTATCGATGGCAATTTGAATGCACAGAGATACTGTGACGAGATCCTGAGGCCCATTGACGTGCCATTCATCCGCCGCCATCACCTCATGTTTCATTCAGAATGATAATGCACAGCCCCAT